CCCCAAAACCCCAAAACCCCAAAACCCCAAAACCCCAAAACCCCAAAACCCCTGTTCATTTTACCTTAATTTTATAAAAATGGTTGGGATTAGAAGGGCTACTTTGGATGATTTAATCCATATGCAGCAAACCAACTTGATGTGACTCCCAGAAAACTATCAGCTGAAGTATTACCTTTATCATGGCCTGTCCTGGCCTCATCTATTGCATGTAGCAGAGACAGACTCAGGAAGGATAGTTGGATATGTTTTAGCAAAAATAGATGAAGAAAGTGGAAATAAGGATAAACCAATAAGTGGTCATATCACTTCTATCAGTGTCCATCGAGAATACCGGAAGCTTGGAATTGCGAAGAGGTTGATGGATATTTGAATGGAGGAGATGGTCGAGATCTACGATGCAGCCCACTGCAGTCTTAATGTCAGAGTTGGCAATGTTGGAGCCATGAGTCTTTACAGAGATGTCCTTGGCTTCAAGGTTCTTCAAGAAGAAATCGATTACTACGCTGACGATGAGAACGCATACGAAATGAGAAAATATTTCAAACCCGAGTATGAGGAAATCGATGCTGAGCAGTACTCAGGAGCTGCCAAGAAAGGCAAGAAACAAGCAGATGCTGGTAAGTTATTTCAGGGTGTTTCGTAGCACTGTTTGTGCAACCTGTTGACTCAATGTTTAGAGAAAATGAATGTGGGAGACGAAGATGATGCAGGCGAAGAAGACAAACAAGAAGTAGCTAAAGAAGAAACTAAGGAACAACCTGACCAAGATGAAGTTGAAGACAAACCAAGTGAGGTGTCTGAGTCAACTGAGAATACACAAGAAGCTGGCTCTGCAGAGCCAACAGCATCAAAGAAGAAAAAGAAGAATAGGAAGAAGAAGAGGAGATAGTTTAAAGGCCCACATGTTAAAGAACAACTCTATTTGAGCAAACATTCAATTGAGTAAAAATATTAAGGGGTTTTGGGGTTTTGGGGTTTTGGGGTTTTGGGGTTTTGGGG